CACACACACACACACATTTTGCACACACTGGCAGACATATTTGTATAGTCATATTTTTGATAGCAAATATTTGCATGTGTTTGTCGTCATTTCTCTCTGGCTTTTTCCATCAATTCATTTGCATGTTTGATATCATATTTATAATTTGTGTTACATAAATAAATGCTTATTGCAAATCTAATGCAAATTTCTAAAGAGTTTTTTGATATAGAGAATTAATTTTTTTTATGGTAGAAGAATTTAATTCAAATATTCGAGCTCAGCTCTTTAAGAACTTTAAGAACTGCAGACATAGATTTAATCAAACTATATATACTTGAAAGCAGTTGAATTAAATACTCAACTTTTCAGCTATCAAAAATGTGTTATTCATTTTTTTTAAAAATAAATTTTTAATAATATGATTTTCATCAAGGGAAGCTTAAAACATTTCAGAGCCATGCTACAGCTTTACTTTACTTTCCCAATTTTCGCTTGCAAACTGAATTTTCGCATTGTATTTCATCTGTGTAATCGGTTTATAGGAATGCGCGCCGTTGGCCGTTGATGATTGATCCGCAGGGGCAGGCCAATAAATGGATTAAGAACTATGAGAAGAACAACAAGCTGTGCGTCATACGCTTGAATCAGGCGGATTATACGCGCGTGCTGGAGAATGCCATACAATTCGGTTTGCCCGTGCTGCTCGAGAATATTGGGGAGGAGTTGGATCCCATACTGGAGTCTATATTGCTGAAGCAGTTGTTCAAACAAGGCGGTACGATGTGCATTAAACTAGGCGACACGGTTATTGAATATAATAATGCATTCAGGTAAAATATATCTTTATATATATTAAAATAAAATACATGAATCTTCACATCGTTTAACAGATTCTATATGACAACAAAACTGCGAAATCCTCATTATCTGCCCGAGGTGGCGGTGAAGGTAACCCTGTTGAACTTCATGATTACAACGCAGGGACTGCAGGATCAATTGCTGGGCATTACGGTGGCCAGAGAACGGCCCGATCTGGAGGCCGAGAAGAATAATCTCATTGTACAAGGCGCTGAGAATAAGCGCATGTTGAAGGAAACTGAAGATCAGATATTGGAGGTGCTCTCCTCGGCCGAGAACATATTGGAGGATGAGACGGCCGTGCAGATATTAAGCTCGGCCAAGGCTCTGGCCAATGACATCAGCGAGAAGCAGATCATTACAGAGGCCACCGAGAAGCAAATCGATTTGGCTCGCCTCAGTTACGTGCCCATAGCGGAGCATTCGACAATTCTCTTCTTTACCATAGGTAAACTGTAAACCTACTGTTACTACTGTTACAGAGGAGTAAACATTTTTTTATTGGTTACCTTACAGTTAATCTGGCTAACATTGATCCCATGTACCAATACAGTTTGGTTTGGTTTGTCAACCTGTACATGGCCTCCATTGACAATACGGAGAAGGTGGATGATATTGAGGCGCGTCTGCTGGACTTACGCAATCATTTCACCTACAGCCTGTACGTCAACATCTGTCGCAGTCTCTTCGAGCGTGTAAGTACTTCCATCCTCCAATGTCAATTATCATCAAACGTTAGTTCAGCTGGGGTCATTGATGTGGCTTCCATTCCCTTTAGAGAGCTTCTCTCTCTCTCTCTCTCTCTCTGTCTGTGTGTGTATGTGTATTTGTGTGTGTTTGTATGTAACGTAATTGCGATATAATCCTATTGCGTTATATTTTAAGCGTATTACTGGGTGCTTGAATTTTCTTTGTGGCTGCGTATCGTTGCGCTTGAGTGCGTTTTAATAATTCCTTAGCATGAGCTTTAAGGACTTGCTGCCTTCACTGAATTGACAGAATTCAGTCAGTACTGCGCGCCAGGTGCGTGTCTTACGCACTGTGGAGCATCACAATGAATCAAGCAGAGAAAATAGCAGAAAGTTCCTGTCAATGTTGACAGCTACTTTAGCTACAAGTTAATTTTTGTGTTTCGTTTCTCTTAATTTTTAGATTACAAAACCTAACTACATATTTAATCAGAACATTTATTTTTAAGTGTCTGTACAATTTAACAATTATTTTGATTACGAGTTTATTATGATAATGACAATCAATTTGATATCCAGCTGTTTATTACATTTATTTAAAACAGTTTTACTGTCTTAATATTTGGTTAAATTGAAAATTATCAGCTTAACAAGAAGTTTTGAATTCCTTTTATCAGCATTTCAATAGCTAAATCCAAAATAATTTTTATTTATTATTTATTTTTTTTTACTATATACTTATATTAAAGACTTCATCTTTGATACGAATTTCATTTCAAAAACATTTAACGCAAATATACAAAACTTAATATTTCGTTACAATGTAATTAACAATAATTTTTATAACTTTTATTTTTTGCAAACAATATTCAACTAGCAGATTTTCTGTTACATAAATTTGAATATGCTCAACTCTTTTGCTTTCAATCATACAATATTTGCAATGAAATATCGACTCTGAAATATGCAATAGTAATTAACATTAACATTTTGATAATATTGAGGTATAAAACTATGAAAAACATCTCAGTTTCACTCCACTGTACGCCGTCGCTGAGGGCTATAATATTTGAACCTAATTGGAATTATGGGGGTGTGGCAAAGGGGGAAAAAGGGAGAATTCGACCATGTCCTTGTTGGCTTGATGATGTTTTCAGTCAATTATAAAGCGTCCCTGCTGTGTCCGCTGTGCTCTGATACTTTGTCTGTAATTTTGACTGCAAAAAAAGAAATGAAAATTGTTAAAATGTGTCTGTGAGCCATGGCTTATGGATTGCTTATGTAACCCCATTTGAAAAGTCATTTTAATGCGTGTCCGAAATATGAAAATGAAAAAATGTATTACAAACGAAATACAATACAATCTTTTTTTTTTTTTTTTTCGAGACAGGATAAGCTCTTGTTCTCCCTCATATTGAACATAAACCTGATGAAGCACGAAAATTTGATTGACAATTCCGAATGGATGTTCCTCCTAACCGGTGGAATTGGCCTCGAGAATCCGTATAAGAATCCCACCTCATGGCTGGGCGTCCAAAACTGGGATGAATGCTGCCGTTTATCGAACATGCCCAATTTTAAGGGACTGCGCGAAGACGTCAGCGCAAATCCGGACAGCTGGAAATTGCTATTCGATGCGAAGACACCGCAAGACAACCAATCCATACCCAAGGAGTGGCAGAAGCGTTTAAGTGTCTTTCAGCAATTGCTGCTGCTGCGCGTCTTTCGGCCGGATAAATTGGTGCCAGCTGTGCTGAACTTTGTCGCTGGCGAGATGGGGCCGCGATTTGTGGACCCGCCTCAGTTCGATTTGATGGCCTCCTTTGGCGACTCGCATTGCTGTGTGCCCTTGATATTTATTTTGACGCCGGGCTCGGATCCGACAGCCACTCTGTTGAAATTTGCCGAGGACCAGGGCTTCGGCACAAATCGATTGTTCTCCCTGTCCCTGGGCCAGGGCCAGGGACCCATTGCCATCAAGATGATCGACGAGGGCGTCAAGCTGGGCAATTGGGTGGTTCTGCAGAATTGCCATTTGGCAGCCAGTTTCATGCCGTCGCTGGAGAAGGTCTGCGAAAATCTGTTGCCCGACTCAACGCATCCAGATTTTCGTCTCTGGCTCACCTCATATCCAGCTGAGCACTTTCCGGTTGTGGTGCTGCAGAACGGCATCAAGATGACAAATGAACCGCCCAAGGGTCTGCGTTCGAACATAACACGTTCGATGCTCAGCGATCCGATCAGCGATCTGGAATGGTACGAGTCCTGCACACAGCCGCGCGTCTTCAAGCAGCTGATCTATTCGCTGTGCTTCTTCCATGCCGTCATCCAGGAGCGACGCTACTTCGGACCCATCGGCTGGAACATACCCTACGAGTTCAATGAGACCGATCTACGTATTTCGCTCATGCAGCTGCGCATGTTCCTCAACCAGTACGAGACAGTCAACTACGATGCTCTACGCTATCTGACAGGCGAGTGTAATTATGGAGGTCGTGTCACGGACGATTGGGATCGTCGCACACTGAAGACCATACTGGATCGGTTTTACTGTCCCAATATCATTGATCTGGAGAAGCCCTACTATCTGGATGAGACGGGCCATTACTATGTGCCCGTCTTCAAGGACGTTGAGTTGTATATCAATTTCACACGCGACTTGCCACAAATATCGCCGCCATCGATCTTTGGCTTCCATGCGAACGCGGATATCATGAA